TATATATATATATATGTATTTTTTTTTTTAATTGACCAGAGAGGACAGAGAGAGGGAAAGTGAGAACAGCAAGTCACCTGCCGGCCCTGCAAGCAAAGCATGTCCTTGTGCCACAGAGGACAGAAGCAAGCAGCACCAGGTCTCAGCATCACGGCCTTCCCGACTTTAGCCAGGCCTAAGTCATGCACACGCACATGCCCTAAACACTTAGAGGTTTCCGGACCCAACCTGGAAACTTCCTGGTGGACTGGCCTCTCAGAGCATGTCAAAATAAACAAGATGAAAAAAACCCCTACAATTAAAACCATTTCATGTCTTCCTTCCTTTCTTCTCTTTTTTAAAGGTTTTTGCCATAAAATGAATGCATGCATTTGCTGGAGACAGACCGTGACAGTGAAAGGAAAGTGAGAAATCACCCCCAGGGGAATAATCACGCTGTAACCCCTTCTCCTCCATTCTCCTCCTGGGATTACACATTCACACGGACCCAGGGTGATTTTCTAGCTACCAGGCTCGGGACTCGAACTGCAGTCGCCCAAGTGGGAGTCCAGCACCTTAACCACTACTTGCTGGCTCTCAGAACTGAATTCTAAAGGTATGAAAGAACCTTTTATCTGACGTTTGACAATTCCTTCATTTTAACTTTATATTACAGGTCCTTCTGTTTAAATACAAGTCAGACCAAAACTTACTCCCCCTTCAAGCATCTCTACCACCATACCTAACGTGTTAATCTCAGCAGTCTTGGTGCCCACAGGTGCGGGCCTCTTCCTCCCCTTTATTTATTTAACAGCTGCTGATGCCCTCTGACCGTGACGACCGCTTCTGAATGGTGGGGCCTTGAACGGGCTCCCTCTTCCTTCAGCTACCTCTCTCGACTTACAATCAAACTATCTTAAAACAAGGGTTTAGAAAGTAAATACAGCATTTCAAGGTCATGATTAACAGAAAAAGGGAAATGCTCTAAATAGCAAAAGCACATTTAAAAACTGGGGGTGGGGGAGACCAGCAGATGGCATAATAGCTAAGTCACTGGACTCCCATGTAGTCGACTGCAGTTTGAGTCCTGGACCCAGTGGCTTAAACTCACGTCGGGCGCATGTGCTTGCGTGCCCAAGATCCTGAGAGGAGAACGGAGGAGAAAGGATTGCGATGTGGCCATCCTCCCTGGGAGGTGATTTCTTGCTTCCATCTCGTCTTTCTGGCAAGCGCATGTGCCCTAAAACAAAAACCTCTCCAAACAAAACAAAACCCTGTGGAGAAGCAGAGCCAACTGTGATGTCTAGCCACAGGAAACGGTTGAATTCACCATGACTTATAGAATGGAAGCACCTTGAAGCCCTCAGGCTCTCATAGTGGGTAGCTGAGTATCACTGCCTCTTGCATGATTAATTTTATTTATTATACCCTGTAAGGATTTACAGCTAAAAAGCAGAAAACAATTAAGTAATAAAAAAATAACAAGCATGCAAAACACTCCATTGTCAGGCTAATACTCAAAGAAAGGGTTAGTTTTATACTTAGTGGTGTTTAAAGAGCTTCTAGAAAAAATTCTTTTGAAATAAAAATAGATGCTTTTCTTCCCAGCTAAAAGCCAGGAAAACCTTTACCAGTAGAAACTAAGTAACAGGAATGACTGACCACCCCCAATGTGACCATGAAACAGATGGGAAAGCTCCAGCCTGCAGCTCCAGCGTGTCGCGACAGCGCCAGGAACCACAGTCCTGATGTGACAGGGACTGCCAGGCCAAGAGAAAATACCCAGAGCTGACCAAGGGTCCCCACAACTGCTATTAAGACTGTGGAACTGAACAGGATTAATTCCAGATACGAGTCCGGTGTCAAAGTAAGCGTCCCACAAACCATGTGCTGAGAGCCGGCCGCTGCCCTGGCTCCACCCTTACTCTAGCTCCTCCGTGGGGACCCTGGGGACAGTGGGGCCCACTTCTCCCCTCAACTTCAGTCTCTGCCGAGGTGACATGGCAAGAGGTGTCCCCACGGGCACGACGCGCAGCCCTCCCGTCAGCTCCTACTCTGACACCCGCACTAGTTCACGGGCAGCACTTGGAGAGCCCAGTGGGCCAGCCCGCAAGCCTGACCCCTGGAGCACCGCGTGCCTGTGATGCCCTCCTCTCAACGGCACTCGCGCCTGCCGGGCCTGCACTGAGCAAGCCCGACTGCACTTCCTGTGGCCTGGCTCTGAGTCATGCTGGCCTCCGAGGGGGCCGGGGGACCCTCCTGCGGACTGCTCACTGCACCTCGTGTTCCCCGGCTGCCTGCCCTGTCGCCTTGTGAAGGAAGGAGCTGTTCACATGCGACAAGTTCCTCCTGCTTTCCCGGCAGGGTCGCTGTCCCGCCTAGACAGGTGGCTCTTTGCCTGCTGCCCTGGACTTCCAAACCCAGAGCTCATGCCTGGACGCGATCTTGCTGCTGCAGAGTGCAAGGCTCCAGTGCAGCCTGCTCCCAGCTTCCCCAGTGGCACTCCGTTCACCCACACCAGCTTGCCGTCCTTTTCCAAGGAGCGCCTTTCTAACTGAGCCTGGCTCTGCCCAGCCTCCCCGCAGGGCCTTCTCTCGGGCAGACACTGTCCTGCCTCAGACGGGAGCTCCTAGAGCGGTGGGCAGCTCCGCCGTGCTGGGGACCTGGCGTTGCCTCAAAGCTGGGGCAGCAGGGGCCCTTCTCCACAGACGGGGCCTTTTGCCTCTTATGCTACGTTTCCCAGCTGCACTTACTAGGGATCAAGTATTTAATTACATTTATACAAACCGACGAGAAGCAAAAAAGCAGCGACCATCTCTGATGGTGTGACACTAAACACGATTCTCTGCGAGGCTGACCATGTGGGAAGGCCCCAGCCTGTGCCTGCTGGGCATGTGCACCCATGTCCAGGGCTGACCGACCCATTGCGGACCATGGTATTGAGACCCTGCTAGGGGGCCAGCAGGCGGTGCAGCGACATCACTGGACTCCCACACGGCCCAATGCAGTTTGAGTCCTGGACCCGGTGGCTTGAAAATCATGCCAGGTGCGTGCTCTCCCGGGGCCTAACGCAGGGACCACCACTGAGACGGTTGCGGAGTGCGGGGGCGGTGGGCCGGGGCCCAGGGCGGGGTTCATACTGGCCTCTGGTGCTGCACCCTCAGGCTGGTGTGGGAAGACTTCCCTAAAACCCACAAGCCTTCACACCAGACACGCTTGCTCTCCCTGCACAAAAGAGCTACAGCAGGAGAGAGGCAGCTCATGGTGCTCCTGCCAGAGCACTTCCTGGTGGGGAACCATGATGCAACACCCACTGGCTCGCTGGGAGGCCGTCACGCGCTCTGCCTTCGCCTCTGGGGCCACGTAGGACAATAGTAGTAAATGGGCCCTGGGAGGTCTTCGGGGAGCTCAGAGTCTGTGCAGTGCTGCCTCGGCTCAGGCCGGGCCCAGCTGCCAAGGATGCAGTACCAGAGTGCTCATGGCCCACCCCGTGTCCCTGCCCGGCCACAGCTCCTGCTCATCCACCATGCCCGCCTCCTCTGCAGCCTGTGGAGCAGAGCACGGCCCATCACCCCGTCCTGGAGGGGCAACGGTGTGCTGGCTCTAGGGGCCGGGTAAGCGCAGACGCCGAGGTCCCACACACACCAAGGGCAACACAGGCTTAAAGAGAAGCGGGCAGTGGCTGTGCCCTTGGGGCATGCGTCTCAGGCCATGCGGCCGGCCGCTGGCTCCAGGTCCTCCCGGGCCCGAGCGAGAGCGTCAGGGTATGTGTGGGAGTGGGGGGACACATGGCTGGACACCAAACCCAGGCAGGAGGACCAGGCGTTCCGAGAGACCTCAGGAACTCCTCGGCTTCCTGCCGGCCTTGGCGGCACGTGCTGCCCCCACAGACCCTGACCACCCAGCTGAGGGCATCTCTGCCACGCAACCTTGGCCCTGGCCTGCGAACGCCCTCGTAGCGCGACTTGGCCTGGCTCAGTCACCTGAAGGAGTGACAAGGCCTTTGCAGGTCTCCTGGACACACTGGAGTCCACGAGAGCCTACAGCAGGCCTTTCAAGTCTAAGAGTGCAAGCACAGGGCCAGCACGGTGCAGGACCCCCCATCGCGAGCAGCCACCGGGCATGCCCATGCAGGAGTGCAGCACCTGGCAGACTGGCGACCAGAGGGAGGCTGGCGGGGGTCAGCCGACAGCTCACCCTGGGTGTGACCTGGAGGGACCCAAGTGAGACCAAGGTCACTCCCAAACGATCTCCTGAACAGACAAGGTTAACCCTAGATTAGCCATGCTTGAGCTTCCCAAAGAGAAACAGCAGCTGGGAGTGGGAAAACCTACAGGGCCCAGTATGTGACCCTCCAAAAAAGTAACAGTCTCGCAGTCCTCATGGGGCCCATGCCCGCCCTGTGTCCCACCATGGCACGATGACTGCTGCAGTCACGAATCCTACGGAAGCCTCAGCTGGCTGGGCAGGCCACGTGCCACGCCCAGTCCATGGAGTGAGGAAGGCACAGGAGGGCTCCCAGAGGGCTCAGGAGACTCCAGCTGCCCTCTCCTGCACCTTCCCTTCCCCACAGCAGCAAGAGCGGGTGCTGGAGATGAGTGGCCAGGACCACCATGGTGACCGGTCAAGGTGACCGGGCAGCCTCCCTCATGCACTGCGCCCAGCTGAGCTGTGAAGCGGACAGAGCGGGGTGAGGGCACACAGCAGGTACTCACGGTCAGCCGCGTCCTCCCCCTGGGAGGGCTGCACGGGTGTGCTGTCTGTGCCATGCGAGGAGGGGGCAGAGCTGTCAGCCTGCGCCTTGCGGACCAGTGCTGCAAGTGGGTGATCCGGGTCCACCACCTTCAAGGGCTGGAGGAGAGGAGACACAGCCTTAGCACACGCCGGGCCCCGTGACAGGGATCAGGACCCCAGAAGAGACCAGGCAGCTGGGATGCCAGGAAGGTGCCAGACTGTCAGAAGTATGCACTCCGGGCACCTCTCGATCCAACCCTGTCCGAAAACCTATAGGATGGAACAGTCTCCACTTGCCCTAAATAGCCCAGACATGCAGATACAGTGGGATGTAATTTAAAAATTGCAACAGATGAAAACCACGTGCTCATGGAAGTGACGATATAGACATGTGGGAAATAAGGGAGCTGAGCCCTACACCACGCCACACAAAGGGAGCCCAGTACGCCTCGGGGCAAGCTAGACAGCACCATGCTGCCGGGAAGCGGCGCCGATGCCTTCCAGGGTGAACGTATGGTAGAGTCAGACAGAACCTTCACGAGCTCCTCCAGGCGGTCGCACTTCCTCGAGGCGAAGAGAGACGGGTGCAGGTAGTGGCCGTCATCGTCATCATCCTCGTCATTGTCAGAGCTGACCCCTGGCTCTGAAAGGAGAACCACAGGGCGAGGCCTGCTGTGTGACGGAGGGAGGGCAGGCGCAGACCCCAGAAGCAGGTGAAGGAGGGCACGGCCGGCACTGTCCTAACTCACCCTGGAGCCACCTGTGCGCTCCCCAGAGCACAGCAAGGCCCCAGCCACGAGGCAACTATCTCAGGCACGAACTAGTCCTGGGACTCCACACGCTTTGTTTTCACTTTTCTAAGGCAAAAATCTTACTGACTAGTGGAAATTAAAATAACAGCAATAGAAATTTAAAAAGCCAGGACCACACTTAATGTAATGGCTATGTTGCTGGACTCCCATGTAGTCAACTGTGGTTCAAGTCCTGGACTTGGCAGCTTAAAGTCATGCCGGGTGCATGTGTGTGCATGCCCAAGATCCCGAGAGGAGAATGCAGAAGGGATTGTGGTGTAGCCATCCCCCCAGAGGTGATTTCTCGTCTCTGTCTTTCTGGAGAGCGTCCGCGCCCTATAGCAAAAATACTCTCCAAAATAAATAAACAATTAAATAATAAAAAAAAAAAAGAAAGAAATGAAAAAAAACCCAACAGCCCGGCACACGGCAGGGTAAGCCGGCAGGTGCGATGCCACAGTTCTCCGGAAGGATGGTACGCAGGAAAGTGAGAGGGACTCTCCAGCCCAGGTGCGGTGCCCCACAGCGCCTTCTACCTCACCCGCCTAGAGACTTAGTCACAACTTGACGTGGTGTGCTGTTGGGGTCAGTCCCTACGCCATGGCGGACTGCAGCAGTATGAGCCACAGGGCAGACCACGAGTTCGGATCCACACTAGGCCCATGTGCAGAGGCTCAAGATCCTGGAGAGCAGGAGGACTGGGGAGGGGGTCAGTGGCCAAGACCCCATCAAGGCTGCCCCTTGTTCTCTCTCTTGCATGTGTTACCATAAACTAAAAAAAAAAGTTATGCCTTATTGGTAGGGTTTTACACTCGTTCCAGAAATTCCAAAGTCTTCAGCACAATTCTTTTTTCTCCCTTTAATTTTATGCCAGTGTGTACACACATTTACCAGAGAGAGAACCCTCTGGTGGGGAGTGGTTGAACCACAGCCCAATCCCTCCTCCTCTACACCGTCAGGACTCCAGGCTTGCATGCACACGCACCCAGTGTGGTCTGCAGTCCGTGGGGCCAGGACCAACCCAGCCAGGCCAGGCCCTCAAGGCTGCTCCTTTAGGAGTGAGCGCCTTCCTACATCCCCAGAACTGCCGTCCCCAGCCGCAGTCCCCACGAAGCCCAGGGCCACAGGCACAGAGCCTGGCTTACTCTTCTTCTCCTCACTCTTGTTCTCTGCCAGTGCGGTGTAGCGTCCCTCCTTCATAGCCTTCTGGATGAATTTGTAGTAGGGGTTGAGGTAGTGATCAAAGCGCAGGAAGTCAAACTGCGAGTTCCGGGCCTGCTTGGCTTTCAGCATGATCTCAAACTGCGCCCCCTGCTTGCACACGAAGTTGGCCGTGCGCTCAATGATGGCGTGCATCTTGGCTGTGGGTGGCTACGAGAAGATACAGCACGTTAACCTCCGCCCACTTCACCTCTGGTCACACGACTGGAATCCCAGCAACGACCCTGCTTCACTGTCGACTGTAAAGGATAAGAGGCCTTCCAGCACGAGAACCCAGTCTGCAGACTTGGTGGTGCCCCTGCCACACGGCACCCAGCTGACCACTGTACTGCCACCCGCCAAAGAGTCACCCACCGTGCAGGAACTGATGGAAGGCAGAACGTGGGCCCTTGGCCTGGCTCAGGGTGTCGGAGCCCTCTGAGGCTGTGTGCAAACTCTGTGAATGCACGCCGCTTCCCCGGAGAAGGCCCACGTTCTGGGCACCCTCAGCATCTGAACCTGCCCTGGTTCCCAGCTGAGCTAGGACTGGCGCTCGCAGTGCACAGGCTCCCTCTCACGAAGCAGCCCCTCCCACCCGACCAGGCTCTCTGGATGCTCATCACTCCCACCCCACTGCCACCCACTTTTAGCACAGCGACCCAGTCTGAAGGCAGCTCGGTGAGGTCTGGCAGAGCAGGGTGGGCTGCAGGTTGGGAGCTGCCCTATGCTGGTTCACTACCGGCTTTCAGACCTGCCCCTCCCCTCAGGGCCTGCTGCCAAGGAGCCATCCCATCACCTCACTGGCCTGGCAGCTCCTGCTATCAAAGGCCCACCAAGTGGGGCCAAGAGCTGAAGTCACACATGTAAATCACCTTAACAGTAACCGAATGATGAACACTAGGGAGTTATGTGCAAATAAAACTGGAAGTTATTCTCATTAAAAATGGGCAGTTAAGAACTCAAGATGCTTATTGTAATTTCAGGGCCTCATCCTTCATAAAATATAAATGGCTTAATTCTCAAGTTTAATTTCTAAACCAGTAGGTCCCTAGTACTTACGGGGATAAACGAATACAATTAGAGTTACTGACAGCTCCCCAGTACACCAGACCACGGTAAAGGCCCACCACACACTGAGATGTGGGTCCCAATGCAGCCCCCCCACCCCGGCTTGGATCAACAGAAGACGCACTTTAAGGTGGGGGCGTTCCACACACTCTAGTGATCAGCGATCCTTCTCCCCACCGGGCCAACTCACTGGTCTACAACTCCTCAGAAGGCAGCCTTGTGTTTCTTCTTTTAGTTTTTTCCTGAAGTTTTCTGCTGTAAGGTGTATGTGCTTGCCAGAGAAAGAGAATGGGAAAACGAGAAAGCACCCTTCCCCCCTGGAGAGGCCACACCACAACCCCGACCTCTGCGTTTTCCTTTTGGGATTTTGGGCACACGCACACGCACCTGGCATGATTTCCAAGCCACAGGATCTGGGATTCAAACTGCGCATTTGGCCGTGTGGGATCCAGCGCCCTAACCTCCATGCCACAGGCTGGTCCCAGAAAGCCCCTCTGTGATACGACATTACTGCTACAGTGGCTCAGGGAGTTGTGTGAGAAGGTTACGAGTCGAGCCCGAGCCACAAGGACGCACAAACACAAGCATCTCACAGAGAGTCTTCCAGTCCCCGGAGAGGCAGGTGGGCCTGAGAGACAAAGACCTGATTCGGAAACCCTTCTTTGCTCTTTCTCATGCAGACTTGAGAGAAACCCGTTTCTATTTTAGGTTATGCTATATGTGCTATACGCCTGTAATACCAACAGAGTTCAAAGACAGAGCCGACACTTAAATATGCATGCGCCACAAAGACTACGTGATGAAAGCAGACCGCATTTCTAATTTAAACCCAAGGGGGAAGTCTTTTGTTTAAGAGAGCTAACTGGGCTCAAGAAAGGGGCCAACACCTCCCCTCTCCTGCAGATTTCCACCTCGGCTTGCACCTCCACAGCAGGCATTTGAGAATAACATCTGCAGTCAGAAACCCACACCGAGGGGAAGTTTCCCATGGGCTCTGGAGATGGACAGAAGGCGGGGAAGCTGGCAGAGAACCCGGAGTGGCTGGGCCAGCTTTAGGGAGAAGAGAACAGAGGCCTGTCTGCCTATGCCCCAAAACACCTCGAACTGTCATAATCCAAATGTCAAACAAAACTAGAGAAGCACTAGCAGTAAGAATAGGGAAATACTTTCAAACTCTTGAGGGTGGGAAAGGTCTCCCAAAAGCAGCTTCAAAACCACAGCAGTAAAGGCGTGGAGGCCGAGGGCTCCAGCAGCACACTCTGCTCTGCACGGGGCCCTACAGAGTCACAAGGCAGAGCCCTCCAGAGCCCTGAGGGACGTTTGTGGGTGCAGGCTACCTCCTGGCAGGCACTGAGAATCCCTAGGACTTTGAAAGTGAAGCAGGCATGCTAAGGGGGCGGGCAGTGGTCAGCCCAGTTCCTTCCCACTCCACCAGCGGTTGTGCCGAAAACACACCGACCTTGAAGACACTCGTGAGGCTTCACCTCGGCAGCTGGTGCTCTGGAGTCGGCCATCAGGCTGGAGCCCAGGCTGACCCAATAGGCCCAGTGCAGGACAGCGCCCCTCCCTCGCAGCTGCCGGGAATCCAGAGCGGGAAGCGTGAGGATGGGTGAGCACCCCCGTTGTGCCTGCTCTGCCCACTCGGAATCCCTCAGGATCACACCCAGTGGCGGTACTACCCTGGGTGCTGCAGGGTCTGCAGCTTTGAGCTCACTGTTCTTGGCTGGGAAGCCCATGGGGCCAGGCAGGGTCTCAGCAGACAGGAGAGTAGAGGGGCTGAGGGAGATCCCCACCTCCCCATCCACAGCTGGCAGGTCCAGGAGGGTCCCGTTGCCACAAGGGGCTGAGAGGAGCAGGGACGCCAGCATGAGGTAGCCAGGCCCCCGCATCAACTCTGCATGCGCATCTCAGAGCCTCCTGCCCGAAGGAAGCTGAGCAGCTCTCAGCCGGCCGCCCGGCCCCGAGCACTGGCACCAAGCGGCTATGACCTGAAAGGGTTGATCTCAGTGGGTCTCTCACACACAGTGAGCAGCACGTCCCAGGACGAGTAGGGACGTCACATAACACATGTGCTCACGCTTTAGTTTGCTGGAGGCATGTGCACTTGCCAGAGATAGTCAAGAACAGAAAGAGCGAGTAGGAGGAAGCACCCCACGTGAGGGGGTCAGGCCGCAACCCCTTCCCCTCCTCTTCTCCATCCACCCTATCCAGAGTCTGGGCACGCATGCACACATGTGCCTAGAGTTTTCCAAGCTGCCGGGGCCAGGATTCGAACTGCAGGTCAGCCATGTCATGCTCCCTTCACCACGAGACCACAGGGCCAGCCCACACAAAATCCTGAATGCAAGTCTTAGGACTGCGGATCTCCAAACGATATTTCCTGCTGTAGCTGCAGTGGGACTGCCAGCACTGGTGGTGAGCAGGCCACCGTCAGCGATCCCAGCAGGTGCCGTCGGGGAAGTCTTGCCCCTCCTAGAAAGGGGGGCGGCGACACGTGCAGAGGGGGCCCGGGCTGTGGCCAGGACAGGCTGCCCGGCTGCCTGTTGTCAGAGCGCCTCCTTGGCCCTCCCTCAGTGGGCGGCAGCCCAGAGGAATCACGGCAGGGAAACTGCCAGAGCCCGTTGAGACAGAGACGGAGCACACCTGAGCCAAGCAGCCACGTGGCAGCGCCACAGAACACAGCAGAGCCCATCGAGACAGAGACGGAGCACACCCGAGCCAAACAGCTCCCCCGTGGCAGTGCCACAGAACATGGCTGCTCCTGTGCCCACGCCGACATAGCCAGCCTCTCCGTGCTGGGGAGACCTAGCGACCAGCAGGCCAGTCCCCAAGCAGGATCCACGCGAGTCCCTGGTGCACGAGCTTGTTATCTGGCTGGAACGCCTCTTTTTCTTCAGAGAAAATAGTCGTCTCTCGGCTCACTCAGATTTCTAAGGACTGTGCGCCTCAAGAGCAGGCGTGGTTCCCACCGTGCGCGCAGGAGGAGCCTAACAGGATGACCAGGGACGCGCAAGTGGTGCTCGGAGGGAGGACACGTACCAGCTCCACGTCAGGTGGGACATTCAAGCCCAACGGAGCGATGAAGGGCTCTTCATTTTCCTCTAAATTCTCAGCCTCACTTTTCTCTGTAGAGAAGGAAAATAAAGAGCTTTAGGACAACACCTGGGACCTACAGCCACCAACAGTGCAATGAGAGGCTGCTTGCCCTGCCCCTACCCCGCCGTCATCGCTGGCTTCTACGCTGTACGGCTCTTCCCTGAGTGACAAGGACAGCGACGGCAGCCCCGACAGGGCCCCTCAGCCGCAGTCAGCCTGCTCACGGGTGCACCTGTGCCCGGCATCGCCACTGAGGTGCCCCAGTGCCCAGGGAGCCTCCGGAGTGTGCTTGCTTGTCAGCTGTACCCCACCCTGATGGTCGCCACATCAGAGCCTTTCTAGGGCGCTGGTCTGTCCCACGAAGTCCCAGCCAGGCGGGAGTCACAGTAGCTAGTTCACAGGGTCAGCCGAGCTCTGGGACCAGGGCAGCGTCCCCACCCCTCCTGGCCTGTGTCCTCACTTGTCCCGAGGCAGTCACAGCACCTGCCTCAGGGTCCAGGATCACCTTCGTGGGCAGGAACACCTGGCAGGTACCTGACAAACGCCCCCTGGGGCCTTTCCTGCAGATCTGCCCATGTACTGCCAAGACCTGGCTTCCCAACCTGAGGGGCTCCGGGAGCGTCAGGCAGAACTCAGATGACCAACGACAAGGTAACTGGTTTCCTACCAAGCTGTGGAACACTGGCGTAACCGCCAAGCCTTCCATCCGAGCAAATGCCCTCTCTCCTACAAATAACGAACGTGCCCACTCCCACCTGCTCGTCCACAGTCCACGTAACTGCAGCTGCCTGCTGGGCGGCCACACGCTGTGGCTTCCAGTTCCGAGGGGCCTAAATCCCAGGACCCTGGAGGGTGACCAACTTAAGAGTACAGTACACCGCATGGGAGAGACGTACAAAACTAACCTCTCGGAGGATTTCAACACCTCATTACGGTTTTATTTCAAATATACGAGGTTAAAGAAACTTTATTTTTAAAATTTTGCCACAGGGCCCGTGTGCTCGCTGGAGTGAGTGGAGAAAATGAGAACCACCCTCAGGGAGAAGGCCATGCCGCCCCCCTCCTTCCCCACCCTCTCCCTAGCACCCTGGGCACACATGCACAGGCACCTGGTGTGCTTCTCAAGCCCACAGGCCCAGGACTCAAGTGACGCAGTCGGCCATGTGGGGTCCAGCTGCCTTAACCACACTTCCGGCTGGCTCAAGAAACCAGCGCTGAATCCTCAGAAACATAACCGTCTCCACAGAACAAATTGGTGCCTCCCAAGGAGAGTGGTGATTTGCAAGGACATTCATGAAAAAGAATTACTCGAGGGAACCAGCAGTTAGCGTAATGGCTATGTCGCTGGACTCCCACGTAGTCGACCGTGGTTCGTGTCCCGGACCCGGTGGCTTAAAACTCACGCCGGGTGCATGTGCATGTGTGCCCAAGATCCCGAGAGGAGAATGGAGGAGAAGGGATTGTGGCATGACCATCCCCCTGGGGGGTGATTTCTCGCTTTCTGTCTCTATGTCTCTCTCTGTCTGTCTGGTGAGCGCACGCGCCCTACAGTGAAAATCTCTCCAAAAAAAAAAAAGAATTACTCGATAAAACTAGGGGAGGTTTTAAGCAGGGGCCACTGTATGTAAAACTTGGGCACTGTAGACGGTGCAGCAGAAAGACGACTCTCTCCCCCACAGAAAAATACAGTTAAAAGGAACCAGCCCGAGCACTTGGTGCTGGCCCGATGAGTCACAATGTGCTGTGTACCCCTTCACTGCCATCCTCTCTAAGCAGCCGAGGTGGAGGGTGGAGCTGCTGCCTTAGCGCCCCACAACTGCAGGACAGACTGGAATAGGAAGGTACCTCAACTCTGCTTTGCAGATTTTTCTCCTGGCAAAACACCAAGTAGCAGAGTTTTTCTCAATCTCTGGGAACGAGGCCAGGGGTGTGTGTTTAAAAATACAACTTATACTCTATTTTCCCAAGATAAATAAAAATCGTTACAACTTTGTCAATTCAAATAGCTTCCCCTTAGTGTGAAGTTGATCATGAACAGAAAGGCATTCTGACTGCAAGAGCTGTTCCAACAGCGGGATTAAACGGGGCCCTTCTCCTCCCACAAACCTTCACTTATGGAGAAACAGCTTCAGGAGCACAAAATAAACCATCACAACAGACTGGGGTCCCAGCAGGTTCCAACAACAAGCTCTCCCGGTAGGCGGCGGCACGCTGAGAATGGGGACTATGAAATGTAGGGCTGGGCCCAGGCCACAAGGGCGGCAGTGGGGAGGCAGCGGCCCAGCCACACAGCACGCCACAGGCACAAGCCCTCTGGGCTCGAGACCGCAGTGCCAGGGGCTTGGCAACTTTCACGATCAAGGGGCACTTGGGCTTACTGCTGGCTCGGGGAGGTGCGTCTGTTTTTAAAGGGGTGACACTAAACCTGGCTACTAGACTGGACTGTGTTGAGCTGAATTCTATGAGGGTGTGTTTTTATTTATGCCGGTGTCTCCAAACAGCTCATGGAAATACACCAACGGCAAGGACCTCACAATTTACTGCATTAGAATAAACACGTATTTTAATTCCCTTCCCATGAACCTTGTAGAGTCCTCTCTGTTAATGTGAGTTAAACACAGAATAATGGGCTCTAAGTTTCACATGGACTCAGTCTCCCGTAAAAAGTTCACCAGCATAAGGCAAAGCACTGCACACACGCTTACAGAAAGGAGAGGAGCGACGTTACAGAACGTTAACCCTGCTAAGTACAGAGCACACCGAGGCTGCGGGTACACCGCAGCACACCGAAGACCTCAGAACCCAGTCGTTATACAAAGCGTCATACAAGTTAGCCCCCGAGTCACACGGGAACCATGGTCTGACACCGGGGTCGGGACTGGCAGAGTACAGAAGGCCAGGAGGAGAACACCTCCAGCTCTGGGGCAGATGGCGCTGCCTTGTCCCCACAACGCTGCTGATAAGAGCGCAACAGCCACAAAGGACAGTAGGTAAACAGACAAGCGTGGCAGTGTTCCAATAAAACTTTATTTATAAAACCTGCCAACTGGGCATAGCTGTGTTTACTGCTCCCTAACCTACAGGCCAGGTTTATCTAAAGATCACTGCCATGTTCCTGGAAAAGACACGTGGCCTTTCCATGCTTTGATGTTCAGCTGTGAGAGGTCGACAGCAAGCCTCGCCCTCCCGTTGTGAAACACTAAGCGACATAGAAGAAGTGTCAAAAAACCTGCAGAAAGGGACTGAAGCGTGCGTTTACTCTGCTGCAGGTAGTTTTGGAGTCACTGCAGTCCCCACAGTACGACCTCCCTGTGAGCTCGAGAGGAAAGGCAGACCCTGAACCATCGAAACCCTGATGGGGTGCACGCGCTGGATAAATGAAGGCTTTCTCTCGGTCCTGCCAGGGCACCTCCAGGGCCTCACGAC